CATATTGAAAGATGCTCACAAGCTTGACACCTTTTATGCTCTCCCTGTGGCATTTAGGAAGGATTATGTCCTAAAGCAATTGGGAGATTTGGCTCCATATCAACCCACGTTTGACTTCTAAAATCCTTCTAAATGAGTTTATTTTGAATTGTAATATAAAGAAACAATGATGATGATAGCTCTAAATTTAGTTTTGCTAGTATATATTGATCATCCTGGAAGTAAATACAAATGCCTTCTGTGCAATTGTATTATTGTCTTTTTTGCTTCTGATATGTAACTTGTAAGTTGCAACATTCACTTGTTTTTTTGCTACTGAAGTGGAATGTATGAATAGCTCTTATTAGCCCATGATGGAAGCTATTAATGTTGGTATATAATGTTGATATAATGTTGTTGTGACAGTATTAATGTTGCTATATAATCCACATACTTGTTGTGGCAGTATGTTGTATATAATGTTGTTGGTATATTAAGGCTTATATTGGGCCTTATAGGGTTTTTGAAGTTGGAGCTATGCTTAATCTCTGCGTGTTGTTTCCCTTCTTTCTATTTGGCTTTGTTTCACTGATGGCTCCTACTGTGTTTGCTAATATCATTTTGATCAATAGAAATACAACTTTGTCTTTGGATTCAAAGCAGCCATAGGTTAAAAGAGCACCAAACCTCCATTCTGTCATGAGGAGTAGACTCGCCCTGCTGTCATAAATTTGATGGAGACAGTAGACTTAGCAGGAAAACAAATTCCTGGTATGGCTATAGCCTCATCTCGTACTACATATAAGAGTTGTAGCCTGATTTTCATTCAAAAGTCTAAACATTAAGGTTTGCAAATCTCTTTTTTATGGTGGTTGATATGTGATTGAATTTCATATGTGATGATTCTTATGGATATGTTGATTATGAATTTTGGCTTACTTGGTTAATTATGACATTTCGTTTTTCAGCTCAAAATCCTTCTGCTGGCTTTCCAACATTATGCTTGGAACCACAGTGATGATTGTGAACATTCTTGTGAGTTTGAGCTTGTGTGGTTCAGGGATTTCTAAGGTAAGGGGTAGTATTTATTTTTTAAACTACTTGCATTTACATGGTTTTAAATAAGTGAAAATTAAAAAAACTATAAGGGAAATACATGATCTAACTAATCATGTAGTTTTTCTGCTCTCAGACTAACAAATAGAAAAAAAATTGTTAATAAAAATCAATCCTCCCCTCTCCCTTCCTCCAAAGTCCCTGAACCCAACAGTTTTTATATTCTATTACTATCATCCTAAGTTGTACTAACTACTAAGAAACCTAATTTTACTAACACTGCAAGCAGGGTGATAAAGCCCAAGTTATTCAAACTTTTCTATTTACATCTAGGGATGGACTCGGGCCGGGCCAACCGGACCGGCCCGCTACTGTGCGGGCCCGGACCGGCCCGGTGAACCGGTTCGGTTCCGGTTCGGGCCTCCCGGCCCGGTGGTATACCGGTCCGGGCCCGGGCCTCCAGTTTAGTGAACCGGCCCGGCCGGGCCGGGCCCGGTTCGGGCCGGAATTAATTTTTTTTTTTTTTTTTTTTTTGAAATTTTTTTAAGTTTTGGGTTGGATTAGGTATTTTGGGCCATTTGAGGTGGTTTGGGGTGGAGGGGGAGGGGTAGGGGGTTAAATAAGAGAAGAAGAAGCAAAAAAAAAAAAAACATTCCGGGTGGCCCGGCCCGGCCCGGCCCGGTTCTGGCCCGGAACCGGAACCGGAACCGCCCACCACCGGTTCGGGCTCGGGCCTCCTTTTTCTGAACCGAGGCCCGGCCGGGCCCAGGCCCGAACCGGGCCCGAACCGGAACCGGTCCACCCCTATTTACATCCGGAGTGAATACCCTTCTCCAAACGCTTCTAGGGACATGACTTCCGACAGTAATGGGGCCCTCCTTTGCTTATGTTATATCATTACTGTCAGTCATAAATGATATTTCTGATGGTAACTTCCTCTCTGAACATGAGGCAAATCAAATTCAGTGTTTAAATTGGGATCATTCTTTATTGTGCCTTTTTCCCTTTATAGTAAGCAAATATTATAGCCCGTTATTAACTTGTCCTTCCTAACTGGAATATGTTTCTATATTGGCTCTTGTAGAGATTTCTCCACTCAAAGAGAGTTGTTCAAGGTTCTCTGATTGTCTCTTGATTTATCAATATTGTTCTTGGATATGGCAAGATGTGGGGGAACCTTACAAGGTAAGCTGACTGATTTGTATCATATCACACTTCTGCAAAGGTTGTTTCTTTTAATTTATCTTTGCTATGACAAAGGAGCAATTTGTTCTTTTTGTTTTTGTTCATCCTCAGTTCCTCATGGTGAATCAATTCATTGTGAATCCTGAAAGTTGCTTTTGTGCCTTTCTCTTTTAGGTCTGCATTGTTATGCCGCTTGTCTAGTGCACTTGTTCATGTTCGTATCAGTAACGCTTCCACATGGCAGAACGTCCTTCTTGTCTGCATTGCAAATAGCTTATCGGGATGGATGGATTTGGACAGTTTTGGAACTCTGGGCTATGCTTGTACTGTGATGAAGGCTCGTCAGTTGATGAAAAGAACAAAAAAGTAATCCACCATATGATTTTGTCCACGCAGAATAAGTCTCCCACAATTTCTAAAAAGGATCCCGTCACTCCTGATGCTAAAAAAATGATATTTCCTATCCTTCCATACCAGCCTTACATCGATACATTCTGGGTGGAAGTAATGTGCACAAGGTTGCAATATGTGTAATCTGTCTTTTCTTTGGTAATCCTCTAAGCAAATTGTGCATCTGGATGCCAACAATAACACTATGTAATTAGGGGATAAAGTGAACTTATTTGCACATAATGAAAGGTTCATTTGATTTGGAGTGATCGTATTTTTAGGTTCATTGTACCGATAGTATTTCATTTGTTTACTACTTGCGATAAGAAAAATGATTGGTCAGGTATGAGTGAGGGTTTATACTCAGACCTATTGGGGCTGTTGGTAGATTGTTGGGATGAAAGTAAACATGTATACATACTTATTGAAAAGAATACTTCAATTAAGGCATTCATTTCTAGTTGGAAAATCTCATTTTTGTGCAATCAAACATATTTTGCTTATAATTATTTACTAATGTTTACTAATCTTAGTCATTTGTGCAATTAAACATACTTTGCTTAAAATTAATCCAATTAGTTTTGATTTTAATTATTATTAATATGTTTTATTTTTCTATAATTTTAATTACTTTAATTTGTAGGATGTAATAAGTTTAATATGTTAAGGGACAAATATTTAAAGGGCATTTAAGTAATTCACTCAATATGTCATATAAGATATCATTCAACCAAACAACTTAATGTCGCATTCTCTTAATCGTAACCAAACACATATGAATTACACATTAATCACATTCCCATCTATCTAACATACCCGGTAATCTAACATTCTCGTGGCAATCTGACATCTCTTGAACCAAACGTACCCTTATGGTTATTATCATTTTGTTTTAGTTTTGATTGACTAAAATCAGTAGACTATACGGTACGTGAGTGCTCAATAGAAGCACGTACTTTGTACTACTTGTATTTGGTTTGTTGAAGAGTTCAAAATGTATTTAATTATACACATATTTTAAGACTCAATTTTCTTATTTAATTGTATCGGGATGACGGGGTGTTACAACAGTGTCATCCAAGATGTGTCAAGTAACACTAACCCATGAGGAACTAGGAAAGACTCAATTTTCAAGGTATCAGGATGTTTATATCAATTTTCTTATATCTGGATGGTAATCTACTAATCTTCAAGATACATTTATGCAAGGTGGAATATTTTTACTTGGACTGAAATTTTGTTGGTCTGGTTTGTTTTGGTGTGTTTAGCGTCTGATTTGGTCTAAAATGATTTGGTTAATATATGTTCTCTCTGTATCTTATAACTATGGAAATTTGGTTTGATCTGGTTTGATCTATTTAAGTCCAGTCTGGTCTGATCTGTTTAAGTCTGGTCTGAGACTGAAGACAGTCCAAGTAAAAACATTTGTAGTCCCCTTACTCAATAATAGTACTAACTACATACACTCCCTCAGTGCCCCTAAATTTGCAACAATAGTACTAACTATATATACTACTTTGGTGCCCCTAAATTTGATACATGTGGAGATTGTGCGATTAATAAGAAAAGAAAAGTGAATTTATATGGTTGCTATTTAATTTATAAAATATGAATAAAATAAGATTGATGTATAACCACACAAACTTTGTCAAATTCGACATGGGACAATTTTAGTGGCACAAATCAAAAAGTTAAAATGCGACAGTCTTAAGTCTTAACATGACAGGGAGAATAATAATAATTCCCACGCTATTAATCTAATTAAAATATGAAGAAAAAGATAAGTACGAAACAAATTAAACGTGTAATTGTGTAAATGTGATGTTAGGGCTCCTAATTGGTTGAACCATTCTCATCAATGCTCATGGTAAGGGTGCTTACTATGATCACATTCATCTTTTACAAGTTAGCCTCACAGGCTGCTAGTGTACCGGTCCGACCGGCCCGGCCCTGTGAACCGGGACTGGGCCTAGGGCCCGGATCGAGGGGTTTGAGGCGGGTCACGGGCTCAACCCCTCTTGGAACCGGCCCAGCCAGTCCGGGCCCAAAAAAATTCAAATTGTTTTGGTGGTAGGCGGGGTTGGGCTGGGTGTTTGGGGGGTGGAATTAATTAGAAAAGCTATAAAAAAAAATAGAACCCGGCCCGGTCATGGTAGAATCCTGGACCAGTTCCAGGCCTTAAACCACAAACAAAAAGCCCGGTTTGGACCGGCCCGGTACCGGTCCATGCCTATACGCTGCTAGGATGATTCAAACGATGAAACTTTGAGACAATGACCAGTGATCACATTTTATCAGAAGTTTAGGTTATAAGTGAAAGGTTCCTTACACAATTTTGCATGTCAAGCTTTTAGAGTCATGGTGATTTAACTATATCACCTAATAGAATTGAGAGACCAACTTTTTTAAACAATTAAACATTTACAAAAGCATACCATATTTTTAAGCATTTACATTACTTAGAGTAACACATATCTTAACAAGTTGTACTTCCATATATGATGTAAACATAGATATAACGCAGTAATGTCAAAAGGGGGCTGACTAAACTCATCACTAGAACGAAACTGAAGCTGCCATTTACATCAGTGATCTACCCGGCCCATGTCAAGCTTTGCAAACCTAAAGGATGAAACTGTACTAATTACAAACAGCATTCGACGATGTCGATCACTGCTTTTACAGATCCTACTTTTGTCACATTACTTATTCATTCCCACCTACAACCTATCCCGACCCAAGCTTCTCTCGGCTAGTCCTCCTAGCAGTAAAACATGACCCTTTTCACATTTTCTTTCAGAGCTGGCAATGTTCTTACACCCCCTGGCTCCCCACAACCTTTGCTGTTCTTCACGCCTACTCCACTCTCCTGCATATCCGGTTCCATGTAGAATCTCGCTCTAAATGCCGCAAGGTGTGCATAATAAGCCGGAGGGACTGCATTGCATGTAATTATAATTTATCAATACATGTTTTATTTAAAAAGTTAAGTTTAGTGATGCGTCCGCATTAACAGATTAGGTAATTAAAAACACATGAGTATTTTATTTGAGTTTTTTTCCCGCCCGCCCTGAATTCAGAAAAACAAAAAGATCTTGCCCTTTACGACTTTGGACCTCAATAATCAAATGAAATCTTTCAAGTTAACCATATCAATCAAAGACATAAATATAAACCCAAATCCTACTTTGGGCGGATTTACATAAATATAAATGTATGAAACCAGATAGAGTTTTGGACTACTCGTAGTGCTTGGCTTTTAAAGATCGAATCCTAAATCTTAATAAGGACTTTGGTAATGACCACATTTTGAAATGCAATACAATTCACTGTGCTCATTTATAGAGTTAAAGGGACCCGCAAAGATTAAAGTATTAAACCAAACATAGAGTTTTGAACTGCTCCTATACGCTCGTTTTTTTATGATAAAATCCTAAACCTTAATAAGGTCTTTGTTTGCAACCACATTTTGAAATCTGATTATATCCACTGCACATTTGTTAATCTTAGATGATTGTAATGGCACTCACAAAGATCCTTCCTTGGAGTGACTACACGGCTATACAAAATACTACTACGTATTAATTAGGAGCTGCAAAAATGTTGACTTACCAACCGAAACGGAACGGGTGCACCTAGCATATGTATAACAAAGGTTGTTTGTCAGTGACTGAATTCCATCTGCACTAAAGTTGTTCTCATCCCAGATAACATGGTAATGAGCCGGCCTACTAGTCCCCTGCAACAGTAACAACCTTAGATTTAGATCACAGAGTTGCTGTCTAGTACGCTCTTTTACATGCATACTTAACTGTGGCGTTTACTCATGAGATGGCCCAAGTTGATTTCGAGGAGTAAAATGAGTCCAAATCACGAGCATATAGGGGGACCAACCCGTGCTTTGGCCCAGGTTGAAAAAATTAGAAAAATTAAAAGTATGCAAATTTAGAAAAATTAAAACTAGGCAAATTCTCAGGTGTTGTCCAAAAATTAGGCCCATTAGGTAAGTATATGAGTTCCCTGACTGATTTTTTAGCCACATACATGTATGGTTTTTTCTAATCAAATTAGAAAACAGAACAAAAAATCTTATATTGGGCCTTGTTTATATTTTTCATTCTGGGCTTCTGGCCACGAAAAAGAAGGCCAGAGAATTACTGTGTTACTAGAGAGCATCCCATGTGGTGGGACCATTTCCCGGACCGTCGCCATGCAGGCTGCCCTTTTGTTTTTACTAGGGAGGATCCCAACCCAAAGGATGCACCACCACAAATCACATGGTGTTAATTACCTGGATTCCAGCATGGCTGCAGAGATAAAAATCAAATTCTGTAGGATGACATATTTTTGTGTCAACAACTGTACCTGAGAAAGATCATATTCATAAAATATAGAAAACATTAAAACCAGATTTGTATTTACTCAAAGCTTCTTCTTTATAGAAAAGGTAAAAGTATAGTTTACCGGGCAGTATGTTCCCACTCTTATCAATGCTGCTACGGTCTTTATGATTATTTGGGAAGAGTCGGGTATGATGTCGCTTTTGCACAACGATAAATGTTACTGGCGGTTGGTAGTTAGGCTCCAAGGATGCACAAGCCTACCCCCCGAAGAAAAGGACATACGTTTTGTTAAGCGAAGAAAAGGACACAATATATGTGGCAAAAGGTTACCATAAGGTACTGTGTATTAAAAAGGAAAACAAATGAAACCAACTCCAGAAGGGAAATACCTTACGAATGGCATCTAACTCGAAAAGTAAGACTTGATAAAATTGTCCTTCACTCACACCATCCCTGCATGTAGTTACTAGATATGTTAAAATTATTTGCACTATTACTTTCTTGAAGGTAAGTTTATTTCTAAAATGCATAGAGCTCCATATTATTAAAATTTGAATATATAAAAATGGAAAAAATATACTTCGTATATATAAAAATGGAAATGATCTGTATATGTTCTGTCATAGTAAATGCATAGACTATTGTTCTTCATGCACTCAAATGAAACCATTAAAGGAAAAAAACATAAACCAAGTAATGGGGGGTTGATATTTACTTTCAGTTATTTAACAGTTATAAAATTGGAAAAAAAGCAAAGGCAAAAAACTATATAGGAATATATGATCTCAGATTCTCAGTAATCATCTCATTTATTTCTATTTTCATCTAAAAAATAGAGGTTAAAAAATTAGTCTTGTTTAAAGAAAACCAAATATTAGTGATTGAATTACATGTAACTATGTAAGCTTCTCAAAAAGTGATCCAAATAGTTGAGTATGTCAAACTTAATGGATTTCTAGTTGTATGTTTTGGTTAAACAAAGGTTCCTTTTAGGGGATTGATGAAGAATTATTTATACTATGAAAATCTGTTTTACCGAGTGCTTTTTATTTACGTTCTTGAAATATTAATTTCTTATTTTAATTTTTTATTGGTGCAGAATTTCAAATAATGGTCAAATATAGATGGTAGAGACCGTGGAAGACAAACCATGAACACTAAGCCCCAATTTAGTAATGACATAGACGCACAAACCTGTAAAAGATTATCCTTTGAGGCTTTTGGCCAGTTGCCTTTCTGAAGGAGATCAAGAGATCTCTGCAAATGAAAGTAACCCAAGTCAACAAACTTCTTCTCAAAGAAAAAATATAACTGGTATCCATATAGATATATACATGAATAAAAACTAAATCTACTGCATAGTATTGAAAACAAGGGAATGTGTTAAAAACCGAATCATGCCACCGCTGACAGTTCCACGAACAGGATCCTGCCATGTCTTGTACAGATCTTGGATGAGTTCCTGCCGATGAGCTTGAGCACAAACTAGGCCAGCATATTTTGTCACCTCCGGCCAATCCTGAGAAGCTACTACCTGCATTATAAATTTTATTTTTAAAATCTATATAACAAGATAAAATGTTGCATAATGAAGGATGGGCTTCTATCTTCAGTAGAGGGGCACTTTACAGCAGCTATTGAAGGGCTGGAATCTTCGCCGTTCTCAGGGTGAGTAACGTCGGCTCCGAATATGATGGTCGGGATATCGCTCACCAAGGGAATTCTGCACCTGATTGCATCCAACAGAACCGTATTTCTCCCACCCATCTGTCTCAAAACAGTCCAGTTAGGATCTATTTCTCCACATATGACAATTTCACTGAAAAATGCTCCATACTTTCTCAGTTTCTTGTGTTTGATACTCAAATACTTTCATGTATCAAATAATGCTGCGGAAAACAATTTTCTTCTGTTTGTTATTCATATCAAGTTTAGATGCATTGTAGATCTATTAGTGTTTAGAAAGTAAAATATCAATAAATAAAATAAAATCATATAATTATTTTAATGGAGTTTGATAAAACTAATTATTAAGTTGAACAAAGAAAAAAACATTACCAATTAGGGGTGACACTTTCAAAATGTAGATATAGTTAAATTACTTAGTCTTTGTAGTGTAGATATAAATAAATTTATAAATTAAATAAGATCAATAAATATCTATAATAAATTTATTGAACTTTAGCCTATCTTTAGTTCCCTCATAATTTTCATTCCGGTATTCCTAATTATTTTCTTTCCTGATATCACTCCCCGGTATGTTCTTGTAAAAAATGCTTTTTTATAGCACACGGGTCAATGTAGGAAAATGACTTGCCACAGAAAACGATTTTGAAGGAAAATGTGTTCTTCAAAAAATGTTATTGGTAAAATAAATTGATCCCTGTGCAACAAAATCTTAAAACCACAAACACATTAAACATAAAGCTGTCTCAGAACTTCGAATAAACTCCGTCTTTTTCAGGTTAATCTTTTCCTACAAATGAACTAATGAAGGATGAGAAAAATAAATATTTCTAGTACTAAATGAATAAAAATTATTAAACTATTTATTAGCACCTTGACATTGATCTTCAAAGAGACATTAGCCAAATACTGCTTGCTGATCTTAAGGACATATTTTGTAAGGCAACACTGAGTTATGAGCCCGAGATCAGTCTCACATATCCTCTTAATATCACCTACCAGTGAGAAAACATACATAAACACGAAGCTATTAATATCAAAATAAATTTAAGTAAATTCCCAAATAAATAAATAAATAAAGTTATAAACAAATACTTCTTACCATACAAAGACCCATTATTATCTGGCAAGATGGCCAATACAAGGTCCAGTTCTTTTTCCTTTAGCTTGTTAACACATGAATGATAAACATGTTTCAATGCTTTCTCTACTTGTTCAGGCCGCGCAGTATAGATTGGAACTACCGGCTCCGGGTTGAATTCCTGCACAGTATATAGCAAAATCTAACTTTGTTTGCTTAAAGCTAAGGAGTAATTATTTGCAATGAATGTTGTTGTATGGTTTGGTATGAATATGAGCATGAATTGCTCTCGGATCTTGAGTTTTTTTCTGGAGGAAAGGTACTTTTAAAACTTATTTCCCAAAAGAGGGTACTTGTAAACTTATTTCCCAAACAATGGTACTTTTGCCTTGTCATCTGCCATGTCAGCAGAGTGACAACATCACCTGTTGCACCTGAACCCTAAACCTTAATGGCTGAATCTATTGAGTTTTAAAGAGAATAAGCATTTGGTAATATGTATATATGTGAGCTAAAAATAACTCAAAAGATTACTTATTCTGCTCATGAACAAAATACGCCAATTAGATACCAAAGAGACCTTCAGTATTATAGTTAGTATTTAGCAATTACCATGCCAGATACTTGACACATCAGAGCAAGTTCGTTACAAAATCCACGGACCACACTTTCTTGGACACTTCGAGAGAAGTTGATGCATGCCCAACGGTTAACAGTCATCCCATTGATCATTTTCTGCTCATGGACAAAAAAATACATGGTCACAGCATAGAAAAATAGATCCTTACGGTCACTACAGTCAGTATAAAATACCATCATGGTCACTATGTAGTAAAAGTCCCATTTTTCCTGCTGTTTTCATTTTTGTTATATAATTTGTGTTATATGATTGGCATACTTTCAACATATATCATGTGCAAAAAGCCAATAACATACACACAACATACCTTTTCAATTAAATAATGATGTTGAGTTCTTACACAATGAATGTATTAGTTTTTTGTTTTTATATGTATGACGAAATTAAGGCTTTACAAACATACCGTTAAAACTCATGGGATAACGGCTGACAATTTATAATCACTCAAGGCTCAACAAGATATTCTACTAACCCCATAATGGATGTATATTATTGCAAAATTAAAGGTGGGAAAGAACAGAACCTTATTCATCATATTCCACTGTCCCACATGAGGCAAGCAGTCCTTTTCCTTCCCAGCTTCATGGTATTTTAACTGCAGATAGTGACTACAAGTTTTAAAAGACTAACTGGAAAACTTGTTGACAGACATGTAATTACGTAAGGTAACAAAAAAATTACCCAAGGAGCAGGGAGAACTCGAGCTTCAAGTGAAGCTAATTTTTCACTAATCTTAATGCCAAACTCATTTGCATATGGATCTTGATCATATACATTATGTTGGACCGTCTGTTACAATAAATATAATAAGAAAAAAGTCAATTAATAAATAAAACTGACTTTTTAAAAAAAATAAAATTAAACACAGACTGGGATTAAATACCTGTAAAATGGAATTTTCCCGATCCCTTGGTCTTTGGCAAGTAACCTTAAGAAGAGAAGTAATTTGCTTTTCACTTAATCTTTTAGTATATCGTTGCCCCTCAACAATTTTACATGCCTACAACTTCAAAGAGTCAAATCACGGAACAAAACTTAATTATAGATTAAATTAAGCGTGATTTTTTTAATTACCTCCATTGGTAAATAATTTGCTTTCTTTTGATTCCCTACTTGAAGGCAAGGAAGATGAGTATATTCAATTGTGAAGCCATACATTTCTTGAAAATACTCAACAACAGACTTCATGTTTGACATTTCATCAACCGGAAACCTAGCAAATCAGCATTACTAATTGAGTAACAAACTAGTTGGTAAAAAAGGGAATGCTACTTAACATAATTAAATATCTTACACAAGTTCTCTTGTTGCCTGTGTAGTCAATCCAGAAACTCGATATTTTCTTCTAACATTACCTCTGTGTGTTACTTCAACCTTGACACCTCTAAGAGCCTTCTTAATCTGAATCCATTATACATGGAAAATGTAAGATAAATCTCACATTTTAGGAATCCCTTTAGGGTGAGTAAATCCCAATTTAACACAAACTATAAAGTACCTTAATGCGATCAGAGTCCGACAAAGGCTTTGATGACACATCCTTTCCCAATAACTGAGCCACAAATTCAATAACAGGGAGGGCTTCAATGAATGCAGCCGAAGCCATATCTGTTATTGATTATCAAAAATCTTATTGATGATAGATGGCGGGGTAAATATGATTATAACTTTAGTTCTATATAAAACATAGGGGTGCGAATTTCAGTTTAATTTCGTGAAACCAAACCAAACTATAGTAACACAAAGCAGAAGCAAATCAGAAGTAATTCGGTACTCCGTATTAGTTTAATAATCCTTTTCCCAAAAAGTGTTAATCCACACCAAATAGAACGAATTAAAACCAAACCGAACTTAAAAGAAAGAATAAACCCCTAACCAGAAAACAAAAAGTCCACATTAATACGGCAATCGTTTCCCAATCCGTTGTATACCTAAAATTAAAAAAATGGAGTGTAGTTTGAATTACCAATATTCAAGGATAAGCCCATCTGAGTAGGCCTAATGCTCTGATAGAATCCACACCATGCTTCTAAACCGTCACCAAGAGGCTGTGGTCGTCGGATATCTGGGGAAAAGAATGATCTTCCCACCGGACAATACCTTAAAGAAACTCAATTCTTTAAATCACTAAATGCATTTGGTTTAAGAAATTTTAAATATTTACCCAAAAGCATTTATGTATACCTCTTCATTGATCCCTCTCTTAACACAATGTCCAAAATTTTAAGAGCTTCTTGTGGGCCATCCGCACGCTTACCGGCAAGAAATTGGTTCATGTGATGCAAATTTGCTCTTGCTACAAACCTTATCACTACTTTGTACTCCCTCTCTCTCCTGAAATTAGTCCAAACAAATCTTCCGTTAACCGTCAGCAATGGTTAACCATTATTCATTCATTTCCGGTTCAACTTTGCTTATTTTTTCATTCCCACGAGATCAGCATATCAAAATAAGTGTATATGTCATACAAGCTGACTCATAAGTCATAACGGCTGGAATTAGTAGACTAATTAAAAGTAATTTTCTAGGAGTGAGAAGACTCACTTAGGACCGTTGATTACATCATCTTCACTAATGAGCCTAATGGTGAACTCCTTCCATGTAAATGGAAGCTCTCCAGCAGTGTACAAACTATTCCTCCCATCATAAGCCGGTAATCTCATCCCTAAATCTGATTGTCTGTATACTTTCACTAACTCTGCAATTATAGCTCTATTCACAATTCTTGATGAGACTTCAGGTGTAATAGTTACCTACAAGAAAAGCAAGAAGAAGGTAGTGAATAAAGAGTATATAACTAAATACAAGAAATTCAATATAGCATTGCTGACCAAATATGGAGAGTCAGTAATTTATTGCTATAAAAGAAAAGGACAAATGAGATAGTGACCCTACTCTTCACTTTGGCCAAAAGGCTGAAATTGATAAAAACTAATACTTTTATCTTTAATTTTAAAATGAATTTCTTACATATCTACTCTATTTAGTTACAATTTCACTAATTTCAATGGATTAAGCATTATATGCCAAAGTAGCTCTACTGCTATATTTGAAATACAGTGCATCTAAGTAAATTATTTTGATTTATTCCTGTTTGTAGACTTGTTTGATATAAATAGCTAAAACTTACAGAGATGGGGCAATCACCCCAAAAAATCAATTTTCGTTACACCAAAAATGGGGTAACCAATACTCCGTATGTTATACGAAGTACTTTTAAATTTTAAATACATGAACCAAACAAGAATAAAACAAAAGCCTCGTATAGGCAATTCAATTCCGCAAACAATAAGAGATAAACAAAGAAACAAACTGGCTTTGTTTTTGTAGCCCAAAGAGAAGGAGCCTTACATCGTACTGGTTCAAGTCCTTGTCGGGTAACTCTGCTAAGAAATGGTTGGCCTTCACTATACACTTCACCCCAAGGGTTCCATAGCCAGGCCTAGACGCAAAGCTTAAGGACTTGCTGGAGCAGGGAACCCCCAAACCACATTCTTCGACGACACCTCCTTCAGCTGGCTGATGTGCTGCCGCCGTGCACGGCCGTGAAGTTGGCCGCATAAAGGCCTCACCTTGATCTGATTTCCGGCCACCTCTACGCCTTCTCCTACCTCTATTCTTCGCAGGCGGCGAAGTCTGGCCATGGGTTTTTCCATTCAGTGGTTCTTGATCCAGTGACCCTTTTCCATTACTGTTATGAAACTGGGGTTTGATCACCAAATGTTGCTCTTGCCTTTCCTTCATCTGTCTTACAGGCATGGCGGTGAAATTTAAAGGTAACTTTTTTCTTTTGTTTTACACTCAAGCTTTAAAGTAAATTCTGAAATAGAGAAGAAAACAGATGTCAGCAAGATGAGACTTGTTGAAAAATTTAGCATACAAATATAGAAATCTGATGAATCAGACCCCAATCCTCTATACGCAAAAGATAATATGATGGCAATGCATTGATTACTGACCTCTATTAAAGAGTACAAGAATATAACACCAAAAAACCCAATTTTTAATTTTTTGAATTTTTTTAGCTAGAAACAAAAACTAACTTGTTCACGTCCAAAACTGGAAAATACAGTAAGAATTTTCGGTTCTTTGGGATACCCATTTCCAAAAGCAAACGCCTGACTGTAGCAGAAGTTTGAATGGGGATAGTGAATAATGAAAAATAAAAGTGGGGACAGACAGAAAACATTTTTCCCGAGAATTGGATGCTTGCTTGTGTTGGAAACACAAAGTCCTTGATTCAAGGAAGAAGATGAAGAACATCAATTGACTATTAAATTAAAAGGGAAAACCCCAAATTTTTACCTCCTTGACTACCCACTACACAGTCTACAGCCAAAGCCAAAGCCAAAGTATTAATTTAATATTTTAATATGCGAATAAAATAGAAAATATGGAAGTGAATCCAAGGAAGTAAGACACAAACAGATCACCATTTTAATGTAGCAGCAGCATAATAAGTAGGTATAAAACCAAATCTGACTGCACATTAAGAGAATAAACCGCCTTGAAAGAAACAAAATAATCAATACCAGTAATTATAAGAGCCGTTCTCTCTCTCTCTCTCCTTCTTTCACACACACTCTCTCTCTAGCCTATACACATACAGGAACTAGCTTAGCCAGTGGCCTAAACGAAGAGGGAATAAACATTGATCGAAGAACTAGACTGGAATCAAAATCTGAGGTCGGTCCATTATCTTTTACTGAGACATGGGCAGAGAAAATGACTCAACAGGGAGGCTGAATTTATAAGCAAAGAAAGAAATAATGAAGCAAAAAGGGGTAGGGAACAAGAACTGGTTAAAGAAAAGGCTAAAGATTTGAGCTTTATTAAAACCCACCATTGAATGGGCCATAAAGGAGGTGTATGCAGCTTTAGAAAGGGTGGGGAAAAAAGCAGCTACTTTCTTTCTTTGAATTGATTCAAACTTGGAAGTACCAAAGCAGCAATAATATAAAAAATGTGCCTTTAGGAAAAGCAAGAAAGAAAGGGATGGTGATATGGATGAAGAAACGTGAATCAGTTTGAAAGTAGAAATGATTGGGGGTGGTGTAAATTCAGCAGGGAAAAGGAAGGTGGAGAAATCAAAGAGTGAGTGATTGAGAGTTGAACGGCGAATGGGGAATGATGATGATTGATGATCATGATGATGATGAATCCTTTATAGCGACGCGCATGCAACTGCTTTTGCTTGTCTCCACGACTCACGTGTAAAAAGCCTCTCTTGGACCCCCATCCTATCCCCAAATGAGTTTTCTATACTTTCATCCAAAAAAAAGAGAGAAGGAAATCCATACAATTACAAACGTTATTAAAGTCCCACGGACCCACTCGTTCAAACCCTGAAAGTGGATGTTAAATTATTTTATAAAGATGGGAAATACTTCGTAGCATATAAAATCTTGAATATTCTTTTAGACTATCCTTTCTAATGGAACCAATCCTTTACTCATATAGTCATATACTACCTCCGTTCTTTTTTAGTTGCAACATTGGACTTTTTGCACTATTCACATATTCTATTTTGACTACATTTTATTAATTGATGTATTATAAATTAATTTTTTAAAAAATATTGTTAAATTCTTCTCATTCTAAATTTTCAAAATATGAATTTTTTAAATTTTTTACTAATACGGAATGAAAGATATTAAAGGTCAAACTTGTGCGTTGACAAACGTGAAATGTTGACTGTTGCAATTAAAAAGGAATGAAGGAAGTACAATACGGAGTAGTAAGTTTTAGTAGTGAAAAAAGCGTCACATCAATGTTTACTTTTACAATGAATATTGTTAGTAAGGAAAAAAATGATGTTCTTACTTGGGTTGTAATTTGCTGGTCTAGTCTGATCTATATTGGTCTGGCTTCTTTTGTATATTTATAACTATACAAATCTAATCTGGTCTAATCTGGTTTGCTCTGGTCTGATCTGGAACAGATTATACTCTAAGTAAAAACATGATTGAGTTCCATTAATGTTTAAATATAGTCCGTAAATGAGTTCCATTAATGTTTAAAGGGAAATTCTTGGTGTACACCTTTTTATACACATCAGTACACCTCATTGTCTGTGAGAGTTTTTTTTGTCTGTGAGGGCCATTTCACAGACAAAACCTGACTTGTTTTGTCTGTAGAATTTTCCACACACAAAACAAGCTAGGTTTTGTCTGTGCATTCACAGACAAAAAAACTCTCACAGGTAATGGGGTATACTGATGTGTATAAGAAGGTGTACACAAGGAATTTTTTATGTTTAAATTCCCTAACGAGAACTAAAAATCATAAAGAGGACTACCGTTTTTATTTATCCTAAAATAGGATTCATTTACTTCTATTTTGTTAATTTTTAATCAACTTGTTTTTTATATATGAATAAATATAAGTCATACTCCGTATTTGAGGAAGAAAAGTATTTGATTGTATTTTAGAATTTTAACTACTTATTAGTCCTACGTTGAATAATTTCTAGTCTCAAACCTCCTTCATGAGTCACTAATGTTTTGGATCCTCTTAACAGTTAAGGCTCTGATTCATGGTTGGCACACAGGGCCGGTTCTGAGGGGGCAAGAGGGGCGACCACCCTAGGCCCGAAAAAAATATAAGAAAAAATATTCCCAAATTTTTTTCTTTATGTATAGTGTGAATAGGTTTCTTTTTTTAATTCATCTTAAGTTCAATTAATTAGGCCTAATGTTTAATTTTGTTGACAATTTGAAAATTTAAAACATAAATAAAGAGTCTTAAACAGAGCCAAGTTTAAAAAAGAAAATATACATTAATTTTAAGTAGTATCAATTGTAATTTTTAAAGGGAAAAGGTGCAAATAGGCCCATGTACTAACCAAAAAAGGTCAAATAAGCCCTTATTTAGGAGGCTTTGTCCGGCCGTCGTCATTTGAGGTGGTTCCCGGTGGAATTTTTTGATGAAACTTTTTGAGTATCTTATTCATCAAGTCTAGTTTACTCATATCAAATTTCAGCTAAAACTTCAATCGGGAAGACATTCAAATGAATTCTTGAAGATAACTGCGCTTCTAAGTGTGCAGTTATTTTCAAGAATTCATTTGAATGCCTCCCCGGTTGAAATTTTAGGTGAAATTTTGTATGATTAAACTAGACTTAATGGATAAGATGCTCAAAAAGTTTCATCAAAAAAATCCACCGGGAACCAACCCAAAGGGCGATGGCCGGACAGACCCTCCTAAATAAGGGCTTATTTGACCTTTTTTGGTTAGTACATGGGCCTATTTGCACATTTTCCCATTTTTAAAAGCAATGCAACGGTTGCTGCATCAATGAAAGATACATCTCTCCAGGCCGGTCTTTACATCTCTTTAGCCTTTAAGGTTTTTTTTCATTTTAATTATAACATAACAAATTTATATAATTATTTTAGAGCCTGTGTCTATCAAATCTCGCCCCAAATATTTATTTGTTTTCCAAATTTCAATAAACTATATCTGAGTTCCTAATAGTAGTATTAGAGGATGTCAAATTTGCAGTCTTCTTGCGCGAGTCTTCTTGGCAGCCAAACATTTTATCTCTTTGAAAACCTTCATTCTTATGAGACTTCAAACTTTAGACGTACTCTCATCAGCGGTCAATCAATCATTCTCAACTTATGAATTCAATATGTAGTAATGTTTCTTTTTACTTATCCTTTCAAAGGAAAGTTTAACGTTGTTATATATATAATGGGACAATTTTATTGTTTGTCATATTTATTAGTGGAAAGAAGGTTGCCTAATAAGCAATTATTGATGATTTGTTTCACATTGTTCTACGAGAAACGTTTTTAAGTAATGTTTTTTCTTTTTATTCAATCCTCATGTTGTTACTTTTGCCCAAATATTTAACTTAAATAACAACAAGGTGATTTGTGCCTTTATTTTATGAACTTCATTTGATACATTTATAAAATTCATATTTTAAATAAGTATATGTGGTTTAGTGTTTGTCGTGGATATAAGCCCAAAATAGCGTATCGTCCATACGTCTAGAAATGGATAGGACCCGCCCTCTTGGCACAAGAAGTCACGAGAAGGTTGAATTTTTACAGGTCAAGAAACAATTATTTTGACAAATTTTAAATAAATAGAAATAAAAGATAAATACCAAAATCAATAGATTAAATTTAGGTGGGTCGGGCATGATGGATGATGCACATCCCTTTCTCTGCCCGTACAAATTAAGATCGTATATTTATTGCACTAGTACAATTACAATCAGTAGAGAGAATTTGTGTCAACCTTGAGCATCCTTGATCGACTTCATACACACAAGATTCTAGAACAGAAGCATGTGGTATTGTGGTTGCATGTTTCGAAAAAAAAAAGGATGACACCCCATCCCTGAGGGTCCCCAACACCGACCGGACGGCACGATGGGAGGATGTAAATTGGATTATAATCACAATCTGACAGATAGATAGTGGGGCTCTGTCCTCGGTACTTGCAGAGGCCCTATGCATTTTTCACCATAGTAACCCCTCATCGCAGTTGCCGGGATTCGAACCCGAGACCTAACCCTTGTGGCACTCTCTCGCTACCAGTTGAGCTACGCCCACTGGTGTGGTTGCATGTTTCGGGTTTGGGGTCTAAAGTGATGAGATTAAATTATGGATCCAAATAACATCTTTCACATCAGAGAGTGACAGACATACGTGAAGATGTTTTAATTATTATTTAAATAATCATGTCATGACAAACCGAAAGACATACCCGAAGATATCTTAGTTATTATTTAAATAATCATGTCATTTTGTGATGGAGGCCTTTAATTGAGACCAGGGGCGGAGGTACTCACTTGTTCAAGGGGGCCATGGCCCCTCCCACTTTTTTATTTTTTTTAAAAACATTATTGTAAAAAAACAGGCCCCTCCCAAACATTTATGAAGGCAATTTAGTAGGCAAGACATACTGCCATGATTCTCTATAATTTCAAGTTTATATTTTAAATTTCATATTTATGAGAGAGATGTAATTTAGTCCTGAAAGTTTTGCCTGTTCTCATCATTAGTCATGTAACTTTACTTGCATGTTGATTAGATCCTTTAACTAATACTAGTAGGTGTTTAAAGTTTAAGGATTTTTGCACCGGAAGGTACATTTCTTGCAAAAAAAATCGAAACTGTCGACATATTATGCAGTGAGTTATCGGTAGGAAAGTGTACTTTCATGTGAGAAAGCACTTAAATTGCAAAAAATTATTGATTACATGACTAAATTTACAAGCGAGTGAAGTATCAAGACTAAAAACGAGCACAAAATAAATTTATTGGACCAAAATTGTAAAATTTCCTTTACAATTTAATACTTGTACTGTATCCCCCCCCCCCCCCCCCCCCCCCGAGTGAAATATGGCTGAGACGGGTGTATAGTTTGTTTTGATATGTTTAATTATACAGAAAACCTATTTGTACTCACCCGTATATCCACTTTTATACCCACCATGTTTGTGCAAAGCTTTTTTGGATTCACAGACAAAATATGTTTGTTCAAATTTTGCACAGACAAAATAAGACGTATTTTGTCTGTGAACCGGATTCACGGACAAAAATAACATTCACATACATGGTGGGTATAAGGGTGGGTACAACAAGAATGATTGTTAATTATATACTCCCTCCATCCCGGAATTAACTTCTTACTTGGATTTCACACATATTAAGGAAAATAAATTTACTATGGGG